TATGAAAGTTCTTACCTTATTCAAGGCCCAAAATTGTACCTTATCAGCCAATAAGTTTTAATTTGGAATAATAATAATCCTTGCATTTGACATAGCGTCTCATCGCATCAAAACATCTCAAAACACTTCACAACATTTTCTGTAACGAGTGATGACTCTTAAAGTTAGTATTTGTAAGTGAATGCAGAAGCCAGTTTGCACACAGCAACGCCCCACAAACAACCACAAAGTGAACCACTAATTTAAACAAGAATTGAGTTCACATTTGCCTACATATCCTCACATTTTCTGATGACTTGAAGATTTTGATAATATCCCAGAAACATATTTATACCTGTACATTTCAATGGACATAGATGATTCATTACTAACTGTCTAAAACAAATGTGTGGCAAGACAGATTTGTAAAGAATTCTCCAGATAATAGCATATGTAATCCTTTTTCAAACCAAAAGGGGCTTAAGAGGATCAAGGGAGGATGAAGGCTATATTTCTCTTTCTTTCTTGTTTATGGTTGCATGCTCAACAATGCCAGTTCACGACAATTTATTTTCAATCAGTTCAGTTTAAACCTGATTCACTTGGAACACTGTCTTTTCACCTCTGGGACCTGAGTTTGAACCCATTCTGGTTAGTTTGAGCAAAAGACTCTTTTTACTCTTTGATAGTTGGTAGGGATTGGGGTGTTTGGGGTTTGAGTTGTCTCGATCCAGTTCCTTGTCAACATGAAACCACAGCATGAAACTTCCCTCAGAACTGAGGAATATAAGTACCAATTTCAGTGAAAGGCGCATGAGAATCAGTTTGGAAATGGAAAGGTCTTGCTGATGCAGTTTGAGGTTAAGGGTTAGGCAGATTGTCAGGGTAATCTAGTGGAAGATTTGCATTCATTTGACCCATTCTACACCTGATGCAACAGACGCAAAATGCACAATCCTATTCCCATTTTGCTGGCTCTCCCGTTGATAAGCACAAATGTAGAAACAAGCAAATGACTAGTTCATTTTAGTCTCTTTGTTCACTTAAATCAATCAATGCATTTGATAGCACTTATTAAGTGGACATTAAGATGAAATGAATCTTTTTCTATTGTCAATTCTTCAATTCTCTCTTTTGTATCAATACTGCACTGGTTCCCCAGCTTATTTTGCAGGATGATTACAAATCATTGGAAAAAATATTCTTTAACAGCACGCACAACTTAAATATACACTCAAAAGTCTGGAAACTTAAGAATTTCAAAACCATTTGCAGCAGCTTTTGTTTATTTTCTTCAAAAATTCTATTCATTCATAATATACTGCCTTAGTCCCACCCACAGAGATCACACAAGATGTGTGTGTCCTGTTAACTGCATAGTTAACAAAAATGGATTTAATTCAAGTTGCACAGCATGCAATGCAGTGGAGCTATGATTGACTCATAGTTTGAAGTTTCAATGGGACAGAAATAAAAAGAGGTTCCTTAATTTCTTTCACAAAACATTTCATTTAATATTTCAAACCTTAAATGGATTTTAATCGTTACTTTTCCCAGAGCTCCCTATTTTCCTCAATACTATTGACTTCAACAAAAATGACTGTGGTTATGTAGCTTTAAAACATTTACCCAAAGGAAGGCATACTGGGATCAGATGAACTATTTTATGTGACATAGGCACTGCTAAAACAGAACAATGCTATTTGGCAGCAAATGGTTATACAGATAAATGCATATACAAAAAATGAAATAGATATCAATGTAGGCAGTATCGAATCCTACAAATGTTTATTAACTTTATATAATTATGTGTTAGACTTGCTCATAGCAATCTTATGGAGTCCTCAGTGGTTAGAGCTCTCGCCTCGCACGTGAGAGACCTGGGTTTGATTTCCAGGTAGGGCGAAACGTTGGCAAGTTTCCTTACTCCACATGCCTCTGTTTACCTAGCAACAAATAGGAACCCAGTTCATAGCCGATTGACGGATCGCTTTTCCGGGAGTAATAATTCTTTCAAAAAAAAATAAGTTGGTCACTCAATCCACCACCGTTTGTGGGTTACTGCTGTGCGCAATTGGCTGCTGCGTTTCGCCCAAGAAATATACAGTCAATTCACTTTACAGTATATTCCGTGAAGCACTTTCAGACATCTAGAAGACATGATAAGGTACTATATCAAATGCAAGGATTATTATTATTATCATGACTCTGAGTCAGGTTGTAGATTCAAGCCCCACATCAGGACATATTTTTATGATGCCTTTCACATAAGACGGTGTCTCAAAGTATTTTACAGAATATACTGCAAAGTGTATTGATTGTATAATTTGCAATAGACAATTTGCACACAACAATGTCTCCCAAACAGCCATGAAAAAGAATTCAAGATGATGCAGAGAAAATTAACTGGGGTGGTACCAGAATTTACTAGAATTTAGTGTGGTACCGGAAAAAGAAGAAATACAGATCTTTAAAAAATATTTTGAGGCATCACAGGTAGCTGTGTGTAAGCATCCTATTTGTTTTAGACCCAGTGATCAGAACTTCCTACCCCTACCCTCCATGCCTTGCAAAAAAATATAAATATCTGGTTAAATACTGGAATGGCAGACTGAGGATTATAAATATACCATTGGACACTAGGTGGAATGGGCTAGGTCAGGTCCATAAAGTACATTTTGAGTTTTTTGCTTTTATTTGTTCTTAACTCCCTTGATCATTGGGTATAGGAATGGTTTAGATTTTCTGTGTTAAATGATCAATGTACATATGATTTCATATAGGAAGCATACACTTTCTTGGAAAGAGTTATCATTTTGAATATCAATCTAGATTTACCCTATTTTCTTACCATTTCAGAGTGTGCAGAATTCAGCAAATTTTGGAATTTGGGTTTAACTTTCAAGCTATTTTGCTATCGTTCTTAAAAGAAAATTAAGCTTGAAAATTAAGACTGAAATATTTGCCAAATTTAAAATTCTGCTCTGAAATGCTAAGAAAATAGAATAAATCTAAATCCAGATGGAATTTCAACTCCATACTTCTGGGTTTTCACCTACTCATTCATTTTAAATCCATTCCTATATTTAATCCCATCCGCACTCTCAATTAATTCCATACTTATACGAAAATACATTCATGTTCACCAGTCTTAAACAATACAGTCTGACTTATAATATTTTCGAGTGTCAATGATGAGTCACGCAACATTCTGTAGAGAATAAAGAATACAGCAGTTACACAAATTCTAGACTTTATTGGTTTGATTCTATTTTGTATTCGTTCAACTATAACTTCCAAACTGGGTTTAGGTTTGCTTTTGAAACAGAAAAATCAGATATTGATGTCGTTTATCCAAATGTACTTTTTTGCTCATAGGCAGCATTGTTTCTAAAAGCTTTACTTTCCAAGTTATATACTTCTTTTTCCCCTAATATAAAAACAGAAGTCACTGGGAACACTCAGCAGATTGGACAGCAACTATGGAGAGAGGAAAGTGAGTTAACGTTTCAGGTCAATTTGACAAAACAACATTAAATTCTGATGAAAGGTCATCGAACCTTAAACGTTAACTCACTTTCGTCTCACTCCATAGGTGCTGCCTGACCTGCTGAGTGTTCCCAGTGACTTTTGTTTTTATTTCAGATTTCCAGCTTCTGCAATATTTTGCCTTCTCTTTTTCCCCATCTTTCTTGCCTATAAGGTCTGTAATCAATGTATTGATTCACTGAGACTTAAATCTTTTAAACCACAGAAACTTATGCAAACTTCAGTTCAAGCCTGCATTATTGTGGTTACTTTAGGTTGCCAGGAACTTTGGTGTCTTGTTCAACCTTCAACTGTCCTTTCTTCCCCACATCAAAGCCATGACCCGCTCTGCCTTCTCTCACCTCCATAACATTGCCCGACTCTGCCACTACCTCACCCCTCAGACCGCTGAAACTCTTGTTCATGCCTTCATCACCTCCAGGTTCAACTATGCAAACGCCCTGCTTGTCGGCCTTCCCAGCCCCTCCCTTCACAGGCTGCAGATAATCCAGAATTCTGCAGCTCGTGTCCTCACCCGCACCAAACTCCGTGACCCCATCTCCCCCACTCTCGCCCGACTCCATTGGCTCTCTATCCTTCAGAGGATCCAGTTCAAGATCCTGGTCCTCACATACAAAGCCCTTCATGGCCTCGCCCCACCCTACCTCTGCGACCTCCTAACCCCCTACCAACTTGACCGTTCCCTCCGCTCAGCCGGCTCCAGCCTGCTCCACGTCCCCCGACCCACCCGCCCCACCATTGGCGGGAGAGCCTTCAGCCACTTTGCCCCCAACCTTTGGAATTCCAACCCCCAATCACTCCGCCTCGGCCGCTCCTTAGCCTCCTTGAAGTCCCATCTCAAAACCCTTCTCTTCGACCATGCCATCGGCTACCCCCTTACCCCCCTCCCTTCTCCCCCCCTGACCCCACTTGGGTCTGAAATGCTATACACTGTCCAGCACTATACAAATGTAATCTTGTTGTTGTCTCATTCAGCAGCATTTGACAACTTAGTTAAAGACGCAGTGTCTAATATTCACTACTGAGTCATGTTATGTGGTACAACACAGCTCAGACATGAAGGTGAACACATGAATAATATTTATACTAGTTGTATTCTCAATAACCAGATGCCAAGCACCAAATAAGACGTTTCATATTGGGGCCAAATAAAAATCCAACAGCAGTTTTTAGAAAAAAGTAACATAGTGAATGATGACAATGTGTAATATGATGAACAACACACTGGATTCTTGATTTGGTTTCTGACGTGAAAGGTGGTATACACAAGTAAATTATTTGTTATAGTTGTTGTTATACAGTACTCTTCTACTCTTGGCAGTTATACAGCACTGTCAGGTCGACTTGCCATGGCTTTATCAGTTCTCAATTGGACCTCTAGGGGGCATGTTTCAGAATTGCAAACCACTCAATTGCAGGGGGAGGTAAACATTACCATTCCTACCTCAGTCATCACATGCTTACCTCCTACCAGCTGACCATACAACAAATCCATATGGGCTCATGGTTATGTAACAGGTTCCTGTTTGAATTAAATCACCCAGCCTGTTTAATTAAAGAGGTCACAACAAGGTGAAATCTATGGGGGAAGAAAAATGAGTGTCATTTTTTTAAAAATAAAAAAAGTTTCCAACATTAAGTATTTTTGTATTTTCAAAAAACAATATCGGGTTACATCTTATTTTTTCAAATATAAAATATAAAAGTGAATTGCTTTAAACATTTGTGGCAAAGGTGGGTTATTTGAAAGTAGCGCGTATAAATAATGATAATCCTTGCGTTTGATGTTGCGCTTTTAACTTCGGAAGGATGTCTCAAAACGCTTCACAGAATTTACTGGGAAGTTTAGTGACTGTGTATTTTGTGGGAAAACTGTAGTATTCCCTGCAGTTATTTAAAAACAGAAGAACCTGTACCAATGGCAGTTTTAAACAGTGTAAACAACACAATTGCTTCTCAAACAACGTAAATAAGCAAACAGATGCAGAGCGCTCGGTTTTAGCAATAATGCTTGACATGGCAAGAAATGTGTACTCCTGCAATCAATCATCTCAAAGTGACTTGGAATCCAGTGCCTACCTAATATACTTTCATGCCTGTCTTCATTTACATCATTTAGTCCTTACACTAGTTTCCAATTAAGACAGGTTCCCACCAGCAACTGCTCAACAAGCAAAAAAAAACCACCACCTCTTTCATTATATCAGCTTTTCTTCATCTTAATTACTATTGAAGTCCCAGATTATTAAATTAGTTTTTTCAACTCCCTCTGAAATCTTGGGGAAATTATCTAAAAATCATGAAATCAATTCCCTTACGCTCTTTTAATCCTTTTTTTTGTTTCGGGGAGGGATGGGCAAACAAGTGCAGAATGTTCAAAAGCGTGCACCACTAGACTGCTCGGCAGCCTTCTATTGCCTTTGTAGACCATCTGGGTCAATTTCCTTCCAAGTAAATGAAATGCAAATAAAAATTCCAGCAGTTTTTCAGCTGCAGGCTGCCTAGCTGATTAGCATGACAGAAGCTAGTTGCTGGGCCTGACCCTGTGCACTTCCCCTCAATCTCATTAAGTTGTAACTCTACCGTGGCCGCATTCATGGTGTTTATTGACGCTGAAAGGCGTCTTTATCCCAAACTATCTAAATTCACATTCAGAGTTTACTTGGAAACCTTGCTTGCTCTATGTCTTCATGAAAGTAAAGCTATTGTCACTGTTGGTATTGTCACTGTTGCTGTTGCTCTGGCTCTCAGAGTTCCCTGTGGGCACACACCAATGTGCTAAAATTGGTTAGCAAAGATCTGTGTAACTGAATACGTTTCCAGTTATTACTTACACAGTTTCTGTACCTGATCTTTGATGAATGATTTCTAGTTTGCTGTTTTTTTTAACATGTACATATATTAGAATGGATACAAGGCCGTAACTCAAATGGTGATGTGTGTGTGTGTTTTCATGACATAATAAACTGTGAGATTAGTCTATATCTTTGAAACCTGCCATTGAGTTACAGCCTCTATAGTACTTGTTATTTTACATGTACAGAAACCTCCTTTAAAGATGTTTTTGGGAGCCTTACAAAAGCATTTTACAAAGGCGTACATGTTACACAGGATGCTTTATAAAGGCTCTTGTTAGTGGAGCAGACCATAAACAATGTGTATTATATTAGAGGTTGTGTTATATCAGCCAAGCTTTCACAAAGGGGGTCTGCTAATAGATCCTACTTTCATTTTAACAATTGAAGAAAATTGATTTAAATGTGCTCTCAACTGCAGGCTGTGGTTTGAGCACCATTAGAAGGACCATGTGACACTCAGAAGCATATTACAACTCTTTCTGGTGTCATTACTGAAGATTCTTTCATCACACAATTCACACAATGTGCTAGGAGCCCATATTTACATTATGCTGCAGGATTATTTGTTATATATTGTCACAAAATACAGTACTGCAGAAAAATCCATTGTTCCTTGTACATGAAAAAACTGATGTGTGGCATTTTCTCAAGTAGTTGAATATATCAGTGATCATAGTCTATTGCAGAGGTACAGAACTGGTATCACAGTTCAGGTGGAATTTAGGTATTCACCAAGCTAAGTTTGACCCCCAATGGAGTCAGTTCAGTAAACGTATAATGACTGAGGTTCTACAGTGTCTTGCAAATCTCAGGATTCATCTGTTACACTATATATAAATAGGGAGTCCTGTAGCATATTGGTTAGAGCACTCGCCTCCCAAGCGAGAGGGCCTGGGTTCGATTCCTGGGCAGGGTGAAACCTTAGGCAAGTTTCCTTACTCCACATGCCTCTGTTTACCTAACAGTAAGTAGGAACCCGGTTGCTAGTTGATTGGCGGATTGCTTTTCCAGGGGTAATAATCCCTTCAAAAAATAACTTAAAAATATTAATAATTTGGTCACTCAATCCTCGATTGTTTGTGAAACACTGCTGTGTACAATTGGCTGCCACATTTCACCCACAAAAATAGTCAATTATTTTGCAGTATGTTCTGTGAAGCCCTTTGAGATGTTGCAACAATGTGATAAGGCACTATATCAAATGCAAGAATTATTATGAAAAATATATTTAAAATCATTTGGTCTAGCAAAATCTCAGAGCTGGCCGATTTCAAATGAAGGCCAAGAGATATGAATGGTATCATACCTCTGCTGTGATAGTATTCTGCTTGTATTATGAGTATCACTGTTTTAGGATCACGTGTAATGAATCCATTTACTATAGGCTCTAATTTGTGGAGTTTCTTAACAGATTTCCGAATAAGGAAAAATATAAAATATAAAATAAAATATCACTATAAAATCTATAAAACACGGAACATGCTGAAGAAATGTTTAATTATCATTTTTAAACAGGTCATGTGCTTTTTGTTAAGAAATATAGCAAAACAGTCCACAAAGTTATTTAAAAATACTCTTGTTCAGTTGGGTATAACAATCCAAATCATCAATCTAGTATTCATTTGATGAGAAGCATTACTGCTGTTCTCACACTGGTTGGTGCACTGAATCCTTTAAAATGTACGGAGAAACTATTTCCACTGGTGGGTGGATCAGTAGCTCGAGGACACCGATTTAAAATAGTTGTTAAAAAAACAGAGGTGAGGTGAGGAAAAATGTTTTCATACAGCGAGTTGTTCAGATCTGGAATGCATTGCCTGAAAGGGTGATGGAAGCTGATTCGATAACAACTTTTAAGAGAGAAGTAGATAATTATTTGGGGATTACAAGTTTACAGGGTTATGGTGAGAGAGCGGGGGAGTGGGATTGAATTGGATAGCACTTTTCAAAGAGCTGACACAGATACCATGGGCTGAATGGCCTCCTTCTTTGCTGTATAATTCTATAATTCTATGATACAGTATACACCATCATTAAAGACAAAACTGCTGGAAATGTTCAGCGATGGTAGAGGATTGGAAATATTTGTGAGAATGCTTGAAGCAGTTAGGTAATCCTGATTCTTCATTTAATATCATTTAGGAAAACAGGAGCAGGAGGAGGCCATTTAGCCCATCAAGCATGTTGTACCAATTTATTAGATCTTGGCTACTTTTAATTCCAATGCTTTGCCCTTTTGCCATACCCCTTAAAACTTCTATGACAGTATCTTAGTATTGATTTGTCTCTCTTCTAAACATCCTTATTGATTCTACCTCTACAGCCTTACTGTCTTGGTTCTGATTTTAAGGCTATGCCTCCAGATGGTATGGACACAGCCCAATATGAAACTGAGCAAGAAGTTCTAGGTTTGATTGCTGGGCCATTCTGAATTAGCTCCGGGATGTTACTAAACCTGGGATTTAGTAAAAAAAGGTGGTTGCCTTCTGTGATTGTGGTTCTCTGCTAAATATTAGTAAGTAATTCCGAGCATGATAACACATGTACTAATCCTGAACTTATTGATAACAATTATAATAATAATAATCCTTGCATAATCCTTACATTTGATATAGGGGATTATCACACCTTCGAGACGTCTCAAAGCACTTTGCAGACTATACTGTAAAGTCAATTGACTGTATATTTTGTGAGCAAAATACGGCAGCCAATTGCACACAGCAGTGTCCCACAAACAGTCGTGGATTGAATGACCAATTTTTTTTTCTCTGAAGGGATTATTACCTCCAGAAAAGCGATCAGCCAATCGACTAACAACCAGGTTCCTATTTACTGCTTGGTATACAGAGACATGTGGAGTAAAGAAACTTGCCCAAACGTACTGTGCGCAATTGGCTGCCACAAAATACAGTTACAATATCCACTTGTTAAAAATCTACTTTAATAATTATAATAATAATAGTAATAATCCTTGCATTTGATATAGCGCTTTTCACGTCTTCTAGATGTCTCAAAGCACTTCACAGAATATACTGTAAAGTGAATTGACCGTATATTTGTGGGCGAAACTTTACTTTATAATATATTCTGCAAGTATCAAACGTAAGTATTGTTATTATTGTTATTATTGTGATATGGGTCAAACCTGATTTATTAAATTTATAAAAGTTACCTAAAACGTGACACCAAATCTCACAGCCAGATTGGCAGTAGGAATGGTACTGTTGGCCGGCCAGAGTGTAGCTAAAATGGAGAAAAATCTGTACTTGAGATTTGACTTTGGTTTTAGCCAGTAACACCATTAAAATATAAGGTCACACAAAATTGTGAAAAAAATTAATTTAGAAACCTGTCTTTTTAAGAACCATGGAACACTGGCTTCTAAGATAAAATGGTCTTATAGGTTAAGACTAGACATTATTTTGGTCCTCTTATCTCTAATCCAGTAATGGCCTTGGCTTTAACACATGAAAAATTTCTCATCTTGTAGATCGCGACTGAAGAAACCTCCTCTTCGACTGTGCTTACGGTCACCTCATCCCTCCCCCCAGCTCCGTGTCAGGCTGTGCCACTGTTAAACGCTCCGATGCACTGCCCTGCGTGAGGAGCTCTATATAACTGCAAATTGTTGTTGTTGAATTATCAAGGCAGTTGACAGCTGGTGATGTTTCTGCATTTATGAAAAAGAGCCAACAGGACAGTCCTTGAACATCAGACTTGT